CATATAATGTTTCTACATACATTTTACCATATTACTGACCAGTGAGTTATAAGTGTTCAGATGATACCTCAACAGGTATCTTTTGTACAAAGACTGTAACAGTGTGCAAGGGTGTGAATCACAGAGGACATTAGCTGAAAAGAGAAACAAAGTTAAGTAGAGGAGAAACTGAAGGGAGGAGGAAAGAAGAGGTGTAGGAGGGGGCTGGTGGAATGAAGGTGAAGAGAAGAGATTGTGAGGAAACTGGAGCAAATATCCAATCAGCAGAGAGGAAAAACATCCAGAGTAAAAGCTGCAAAAGCCAGCCAGATACTCATAACAGTGTCCAAAGTCCTAGCTGCAGCTGTTTTTCTCTACTCCTGCCAGCTCAGTTTCATGTTGGCTTCTCTCTAAGTCTCTTCCCCACGCTCCCAAGGATGTGAGGAGGGCACAATGAGGAGGTGTCTGCCCTGGAAAGCAGACTAAACGTGCAAACTAAAACTGGGTTCAGAGGTCAAGGTAGATTCTTCACCAGTCACCTGTAATGAAGGTTATAAAAGTCAATTATGTCCTGCGGTCACCTCTGTAGTCCCTTAGTCACTGAGGACATACTTTGAAGACATGTGTACACACTCTATTTATACTGATGTAAATCACTGGAACAGTAGACACTTCTGCATTATGCATAAATAGAAAATGAACCCAGATTTCTCTTAACTGTGTTGTCTGTACGGCCTAACAAGAGTTAAACCTTTGCTTGCTTTAGCATCAAAAGCGAACAGCTCTCTGAATACACACAAGGAACAGTTCTGTAAATGTAGAGTAATGTAGTGCTATTTTTACATGATCACTTTTCATAATAGAACTGCACTTGGAAACTGTAACCTGAAAAAATTTCCAGATAGCTGAAACCTACAAATGATACTGCACTGTTTGAGCAACCTGTGAGGTAGACAGCTGATCTCTAAAAAAATAAATCAAGACTGCCAATAATCTTTGGTATAATGAAAGGTGACATGCCCTGTGTAGAGTAAGCCTCCTAGCATTCCACACTTACTTACTTTCACACCAGATACAGAAAATCCCAGTTAAATAAAGCAGCACTAGTTATCTTCATATTACATTTCAACTTTCCAATTTGTGTTGAATGTTTTATTTACATAAAGTCTAATCATGAGTAGTCAGGTGGTCCATGTGATGTGTAAAGTAAGATAACAAGCAAGATATAGAAAACCTGGGGAAATGAATTATCTAAATTATATTACATTGGGCTGACTCATTTAGAAAGGTAAATAGAATTATGCAAGATCACCTACAGAATGAGCAGCATTCATGACAAAAACAAGAAGAATACTACACAGAACTATCTTTGCAAGCAAACCAATGATTATTTTTGCTCTTATTGATCCAAAAGCCATATGAACTACTTCAGTAAGTAATGCAAATAGGTACTTGCAAACATAAAGGACTTACCAGTAAGTGATCACTACAAAAGTGTCCCCACACAACTCTGCCAATACTCCACTTTTGGCCTGCAATATTTCTGCCATGTGTGGATGTCTTTGATGGGGCTAAGTTTCCACTAGGGACTAGGAGACTAATAAACCCATTTTCTACATGACTAGAACACAAGACTACAAATCCAGAGACATTAACTCTGCCATACTGTGTGACCTTGGTCAATCTCTGTCTGAATTTTACCGTATGTAAAAAGGGTGTTTTGGGTGACACTTACCTCATTTATAGCCATACTCCAACCATATATGTTTAATTTAAATAGAAAATAATCAGAGATCTCCCATTCAAACAAGGGGTTTGCTCTTAATCTAGTCACATTTTTTTGGTAAGTGATTGACACATTGCAGTGAGGAAGACTGGATTCCAAACCACTTCTTTGTTCTCTTTAAGGATGGTGACCACCAATTTACCAAAGACTTCACTAATGCATGAATTACCAAATTGGAAATACAATACTACCTCTCTGGCTGAATGGTGCTTGTTACACAGCATATTTTTATTTGAGATTATCATCTCTATCTGCTGTGCAAAGAACATGTAACATTGTCTCTAACATAAAATTTGTAAGTACTAATGCAAAGTGACTGATTATCACATCTCTACTTCACCAGATTATTTGATCTTTCTCTCTAATAAAAAAAATGAGCATCGCTGACAAATGTTTTCCTCAAGTGACTTTTTAAGTTTCAGATATTTAAATTTGCATCTCAGAGTCCATTTTTCAAGTGCTGTTTAGCTTGGACAAATGGGGCTCCTATAGTCTACCTTTCCAATAAACATTGGCTTGCCAAGACTCTCAGAGCACAATAAGGCCCCCATTTACACTGCAAATACAGTAGTATCAAAAGGAGCAGCAACAACACAGTTGTCCACTGACATGATTAAAGCACGTTTCAGTTTGACAGTATAGATGGAACCTAAACGCTTAAGGTTCCATCTGAATTCCTAAAATGAGGCATCCTTTAACACTTTCCAGGACAACCATGTTCTAAACAGACACTGGTATTTCCAAGGTAAACTGTGTCTAAGCACTCTGAAAAAAGCTTCAAAAGTGTTAGCTTTTGAGAAGGACTATGGCTTTTTTCTTATTTTGAAAGACTGTCAGAGGAAATATAAATCTTGGCTGTCCCATGGATTTTTAACAAGTTCACATTCCTACTTCATCTAAGCCACAACTATCAGCCACCTGCTCTGGTTCATTCCACCGTAGACAGCCAACCTAATTTAATAGGAGAACACACCCTAATAACCAGCAGAGTGATATAAAAAAGAGCATGCTGCCACTTGGTTAAATGAATTGGCAATACTGTGATTGATGCACAATTACTCCTGAACAACTAGAGCACAAACAATTTGCAATTCCCCAAGGACCATTCACTTCTTTCTACCTAATGCATGTCAAACAGAGGCCAATTAAAAATAATGTACTGCTGTCCAACTTCATCCTCTCCCAGTCACTGCCCATCTCTCCTTCACATATAAGGGTTGAAACTGTCAGCCCACAATAAAATGAACAATAAGCCATTGAGCCACAAACCACAAAATAATCTCTTTCTCTAGCCCACTCCAGTGCAAAACCACTACTTGGAAAGATCATTGGTTCTGAAAGCACTTCTACTAAGTGTTTAGGCCACAAGATATGAATAAAATCTTGGATGATATTCCTATTTGAAATCATGGGTGATCCTGCCGATGGACACAGACGATTTAACGGTATTCTCCCCACCCCCATTTTGTCACTTTGTAAAGCTCCTCAACAGTGCTAGAAAACAAAACAAATATTTGTTCTGCATCTTCCCTGAGGTTCTTCCTCCCAGTGACATCAGACTGAGTGTTGTATATTACACTGCGACTAGTTTCCAATTTTACATTCAAGAAGCATCTCATTTTCTGTATGGTTACAACCAGAATCTCAATCACAAGAGTGTTCCCTATGTCTTCCAATACATGTGAGAAAGCTGCAGGATTTCTGAGCAAATGGAAGGTGACAGATGTTGGCAATTCCAACCCCTTATAGGAGCTAGAAAAGTGGGGAGGAAAATAAAGGACTGAAGTGCAATGGCCTAACACCACCGAAATGCAATATCAGGATTCTTCACCCTGATACGTGACTCCACCTGATGACAACATGGCTCTCTAGCTCTTCAAGAGAGAGTATGAGTGTTGTACACACAGTAATTGAAACTTTTATTTTAAACTGAAAACTACCAACAAGAACTGGTCATAATTTCCTCAATAAGCCATTTTAAAAAAACAAACACACAAGGAGAGGACAAGTCTAATTTAAACGGACGTTTGAAAGAGTTAACATGCCGTTCACACTGTCTGCTGCAAATTACGGCTTGTATCATTTCCTCTTGATGCTTTCCACACTTCATTTCTTACTACCATGTAATCAATGTGGTAAGTGGCTTTTTTCTTCTTCTTGTGGTTAAACAGCATGTGGAAACAAAGGATCAAAACAAATGACTTTTTTTAAAAAAAATCGTGTTATTTTTTTCCACTTACGTTTATTTCATTTTTAACGAAACCACCGGTTAAATACCCATTTATTCAATCATTTCAAACAAGCCTCTAGATGCCAATTATTATTGAAAGTTGCAAAGCGGTAAAAGTTAGCTAAAAATAAAAACTAAAAGTGAATACCAACAGCAGCTAACAACCAGAGTCCCTCTGCAGACCTTCTGCAGCCCATCCAGGCGCTCGCGGGCTGATGGTCCCTGGGGGATAAACCGGGAGACGCCGATGGCAGCCCGGGGAAGGGAAAGTGTGTCAGGATCAAGCTAACGTTGCTGTCAGGCGTGTAGCGGTGACGGGGAGCGGGACCTACCTTCAGGGAAGCGCCGCCGCCGCCGGGAGTCCGGCTCCCCTCAGCCCCGCACAGGCACCGCCCGCACTGGCACCTGGGGCGAAGGACGCGGGACCGGGAAGGGGGCTGGCGGGTCCCGTTTCGGACAAGGAAGCAGCTTCCCGGCCTCCGCGCCGAGACGTGACACGTACACGGCAAAGGGGGGGCGGGCGCTGCGGCCCGCTCCCCGCCCACGAGCTGCATCCTATGTGGACAACAGCCGCCGCCAGCACCGGAGCGCTGAGCCTGGAACAGCCACCATCCCCCCGGGGAGGCTTCCAGCATCAGGGCCCAGCCCCCCCGCCACCTCCTCTCACCTGCCAGCGGCGTCGCAGCCGCTTCGCTCCCGCCCCGGTCACGTCCTGCTCCGCGGTGGCCGGACGAGGGACAGCTGCTGTTAGGCCCGGCGGGGAAACGGGAGGCTCTTGCGGGCAGAAAAGGCTCCAGTGCCAACGTCTGCAGCTTTATTTCTTCCTTCTCTGGCACCAGTGGCAGCCGGACGTGCTTGGCCGGAAATGGGGCAGCGGTGGCCTCTCTATGGCCATGACGTGGAAGAGTCTCTCTAGCCAACAATGTCCATTTCTATGGTGTCGCTACCTCCATGCACCAACCATAGCAACGACATCCGGGTCCGCCGCCGCTGCTCTAACACCCTCCCCCCTTCACCCGCTTCCGCAGCGTCTTGTGGGCTCTGCAGGGGACTGGAGCCGAGTCCCGGTGCGGGAGATCAGGTGGCGGCTACGGCCGCACACCGTGAATCCCCCTCACCTCGCTGGGGGCAGCCGGGCAGGGAGCGGCGCAGCCTCCCCCGCCCCAAGAGAAGAGCGGGCGGGGCTCCGGGTGGGCTGGGACCGGACAGGGGCGCTGGGTGTGTCCTGGGGAGTCTCTCGCTGACGCTCGGGCGGCGGGCGGGCAGGTTCCTCCCGGTACGTGTCGCCGCCCGGCTGCAGCGCTGGGGTCAGCTAGGCTGAGCGGCGCCCCGACCCGCAGGGCCCGGCCGCCGCTCAGCTGGAAGTGTTGCGTGGCGCAGAGGTGTTAGACTCCCCGCCTTCTGGTTACCTGGTGGGCTAGGGGAAAGGCCCTTGCTCCGCTCTCCAGCCAGGTAACAGCTGCTCTCGCATCTCTGCCTCTTCCCCCTTCCGTGTGTGGGGCCAGCGAGAGACGCGAAGTGAAGATCCGTGTCCATCAGCGGACGAGAGCGGTTACGGGGCGAGTGTTTGTCCCGTTCGCAGTGTGGGCCCAGCTGCTGCAGGGCTCTCCAAGTCACCAGGTTATTCTCGGCACCTTGAAAGACTCAAGTTGGCAACATGATAACATCCCTTTGACCCCCAAATGAAATTCAGGGGACATGGGGTTAGGTAAATGAAATAAATTCTGCTAATGTGCTTGCTTCCTCTCTTCTTGTTTTAGTGGCCTGAGGTGAAGGAAACAATTGGCCTGGAGGGAACCTGCTGCCAGCAGCAAAGTCTTTCCTAGGCCTTGGTCCTGCACAAAAGGAACACCAGACAGCTCTGCATCCATTAAAAAAATATTGTTTATCCATACAGGAAAGGGCACTGGAGGCCACTTTCTTAATGACTATGTTCTCTTCTTTGAATTAGTTCCTTGTGTGGTCAAGGATTATAACGCACCAGAAATAAATCAGTGGGACTGAAAGGTTTTTATATCTATGTCAATGAAGTCATCCTTTCCCCACCCTTACTTTTTCAGTCTTTTTGGGGTGGGAGGCGTGAGGGCAGTTTCCCAGAATGAACCTGAAAGGAACTTGTAATCATTGTTAATTTGTATAAATACTAACTTAGTTTTTAGACTACTCTTACTAAAGACATTCAAAGAAGTAAGAGAGGCTAAATTGCTATTAATGTACTGATAGTATCCAGGAAGATATCAGTGACTTTACCACATCAGCATTCACAATGTGATGACTGTGACATCAGTATATATACTTGAAAACTAATCCAATTAAAGAAGCTGATATCAGAAAGGACTAGCAAGAGTGTTTGTTTGTGTGTGCTTGTTTGTAAAAGAGTGCAGGATACCATGGCAGAGACTTCAGTGGATCCCTCATCTTTACCTGTAATAAGGAAAAAGAAAAGTTTATCCATTGAGGAAAAAATTGACATAATAAGTGCTGTGGAAAGTGGCAAGAAAAAAGCAGATATTGCAGCAAAATATGGCATAAAGAAAAATTCATTGTCTTCAATTATGAAGAATAAAGATAAGGTTCTAGAAGCCTTTGAGACCTTACGATTTGATCCTAAAAGAAAAAGACTAAGAACAGCTTTTTATACAGATCTGGAAGAGGCATTAATGAAGTGGTACAGAATTGCTCAGTGCTTGAATGTACCAGTAAATGGCCCAATGTTGCGTTTCAAAGCTAATGATTTTGCTCAGAAACTTGGACATTGTGATTTTAAGTGCAGTAACGGGTGGCTTGATCGTTTTAAATCAAGATATGGTTTAGTATTCAGATCTCAGTCTATAGAACCTGTGGCTACTACAGCAGATACTTTAACTGTTTGGTACCAAAATGTTCTTCCTTATTATTTAAATGATTATCAGCCAAAAAATGTGTTTAATGTAAAGGAGACTGGATTGTTTTATCGGATGTTACCTAATAATACTTTTGCATTTAAAGGGGAAACTTGTTCTGTTGGCAAACTAAGCAGAGAGAGAATAACTGTAGTGGTTGGTACAAATATGGATGGCTCTGAGAAACTTCCTTTGCTTGTTATTGGCAAAAATAAAAATCCGCACTGCTTTAAAGATATAAAGTCACTGCCTGTGGATTATGAGGCAAACGATATGGCATGGATGACCTCAGAAGTGTTTGAACAATGGATGCGTAAACTTGATGAGAGATTTCAAGCACAGCAGCGGCGAGTAGTATTTTTTGTTGACTCTTTCCCAGCTCACCCAGAGGTAAAGAATCTAAAGTCTATTGAACTGGTATTCTTTCCTCCATGCTCATCATCCAAATTTATAGCTATGAAACAGGGAGTTATAAGAAGTCTGAAAGTCAAATACAGGCATCGTCTTATCAAGAGATTTGTAGACTGTGTAGAAGGTAGTAAAGAATTTACATTGACTCTACTTGATGCAGTTGATATGTTGCACCTATGCTGGAGGAATGTAACTCCAGAGACTGTTGTTAAAAGTTACAAAGAAGCAGGATTCAAATCACAAACAGGGGAAAATGGTGACACAGACAGGGAGATTGAAAGTGGTTTAGATTTGATTGCACAGGCATTGGCAGCTGGGGTAGAGTTTCCAGAAGGTTTATCTTTGGAGGAATATGCAGCTTTGGATGATGACTTGGTAACATGTGAAATGCCCACAAATAATGAAATGATACGGACCAAAGAAAGCACTTCAGTTAAAACTGAGTTGTTTGTTTATGATGAAGAGGAAGATGAAGGTGATGGATCTCCAGGAATTGAACAGCCTTTGCCATCAAAAAATGAGGCTCTGACTGCTTTAGATACTCTTCGAAGGTTTCTCAGAAGTCAAGATATGAATGATTCTCTTCATAATTCCCTAGCAGATCTAGATAATTTTATTCAGCATGTAGCATCTAAATGAGGGTTTATCCAAGTATGAAAGCATTTAAATAGAAAAACTAGTTATTTAGCCAGTTAAAAAACAAATAAAAACCTGCAGCATAGTTCTGTGGTTTGCTTTGCAAACATATCTAGGTATGATGAATAAAATTTTAAAATAATAGAGCTCTGAACTGAGTAGAGGCATGTCAGAGTGCAGCTACATGAGAGGCTAAAATCCCACAGTAGATGAGGTCTAGCATTTGCAAAACTTAAAACAAAATGTTCATTTTTAAGCATATTGTAGATATTTCTTTACCAAAATATTAGTTTTTTAAAAGTCAATAACTTTTAAGTTTTTCTGATTTTTGAGAAAATACCATATTTTATAGGAGCACTTTAGAAAACCTCTAAGTGTTATAGAATCTATTGTTGGAGCTAGCATCTAAACCTTAATCTATGTTTTTTAAAAGTCTTGGTTATTTTAATGTTCAGTTTGGAAATTAATAGTTTGAGACTATATTTATTTTACATTTACAGGATACTGTATCCAATTGTAAATACAATGTTTTCTGGTAGCAGGGATGTACCAAAGTGTTATCTTACGAATCAGGATGTTCCTTTTCATGTGACAAATTTCCTATGGCTAAACTGCATGAATCTTTCAGGAGAATTGTTGTCTACAACAATATTAATTATCTACTTTATGGTTTCCTGTTTCAAAACGACTAACAGTTCTTTCAAAAAAAAAGATGGGGCTCCTTTTCTGAATGACAAATACAGTCAACATCTGAGCCAGAGATGTATAGATTATGTAGAAAACGCATCCCACTCCATCATCTTCTTAGAATGCTGTTGGAAGAATATAGATTTTTGTGGTTTGTAAATTGGAAGGATAGGTTGTGTCAGTCACTATATGCTTTCCCAACATTTAGAAAACATTACTTCTTATGCAAGCTAAGGCTATTTTAAAGCTACAGAAAATGAAAGGTTAAATACCATAAAAACTGTGACTAATTTTCCTTTCATATTATTATGATTTGAAGCTTGTCAAATACTTTGTTGACATATGTTTACCTTAGTGTGGCTCCAATTAAAGCAAAATCCCTGATCCTGCAAGCCAATCTACCTAGCAGACCCTACAGCCGTGACAGTGGGTCTACAGATGGGTACAGGGACCACATACTTGAATTGCCTGGCTAACTAAGGAACCTGACCTTGCTTCCTTCTAAGTCAATGGCAAAACTTGAATTAACTAAATGGAGTAGGCTTGCACCCTAAATAGTGAAGATGAATTTTCTTTATTGCCTGATGTAATAAGTGAGCGATGTAAAGGGGGCATGAACACAACAGAATTTTTTTTTTTAACCCAAGGTCTTGTGGAATAGTTGGAATCTTTGGAAACAGATTTAGAAGATCAGGAGAAACTGAAATAAGCAGGTCTGTGAACAACTAAACAGGCAAAGATAATGGACAGCAATAGGCACTATAATAATGTTTTACTGAAATAATTTTATGCAGAATAGTATCCTAGTAGATCGTATAATTATAATTGAGATTTTTTTTTTTTGCTATTTTGTGCAGGGGCAATGTGTGACCATGGGAAATACCAGAAATTCAGGGGCTTGAAAAGTTTGAGTTTATTCATGCTAACAAAACAACGCAGGAGCAAGAAAGAAGTTATTACTTTGACCTTAGACATTGAAAGTGAATTGTAAATCTTTCATTTAAAAAAAAAAAAAAAACCTCAAGATTCCATATTTTTGATATTATACACTTGAGAACTCAGTATTTTCAAATATCTCTTTTTCATGTTGAGGCCAGCTATAGAACTCTTGCATTGAAATATTTTTGCAGTTAACCACATTAAACTTGAGTAAAATTTTCAAAAGCACCTAACTGACTTAAAAGTTTGTCTTGTTTTCTAAAGTGACTTAGAAAGCCACTTTTGAAAATGGGACTTAGGCTCTTAAGTCAATTAGGTATTTTAAGTCCAATTTCCTAAGTCACTTTTGAAAACAAGACTCAAACTTTTACCCTTGCTCTCAGAACACTAGCCAGCACAAAAGTGAGAATGCACTGTCTAGCAACAGACTAGTAGCAGAACTTGCCAGTCAGACTGATCAAATTTATTGTCATTTCATTTCTGTTCATTTTTTTTAATTCTTTCATATAGCAAAATCTACACTATTCACCAGTATATGTAGACTTAAAAATTACAAATATTTGTTTTCAAATAATTTGAGATTCTGTGTTGAAACTTAAAACAGGTTCAGCTGTTGTTGTTTCAAGTGGTTGTAATATGATCAACTGTTCCAGAGGGAAAATATTCTTCAAGTCTTGAGTGGTAATGGTGGGAAAGGAATTTGAATATGTAAATATATTTTTAACTTTAGTCCACATACACACTCATTTATGGATATTTTTTTAATTGCTTAATGTAAATCTGCCAAGCACATAAAGATTATTCATTTTAAAAAGAGGAGAGGATGAAAGGAATTGTAGCTTCAAACTGAAAAATGTTTGAAATTATGAACATTTATATAAAAGGCAGTTTGCTTGACTGGTCATGCTATTTGTTAGGATATTTATTCCTCCATAGTCATCCTCGTGCTTTAGCCTTCAGTAAGTTAATAATTTTGTACAGTGAGATTGCAATTTTTTTTTTTTTTTATTCGAATCAGGTCTGTCAGAGTCAGTACCATATTCTCACTGGTAGATCAGGTAAGAAGGAAAAAGGAGCCATCTTAAGAACATAATTTCAATAACTTGCAAACAGGGCCAGAAAAATTAAAAAAAAAATGTAAAGGTATGTTTGATATACTTGAAAGCCTTCTCCAGCATAAAAGTCACTGTTTAAAGTGTGTGTTTCAAGTTAAATTTACTTTGTAAGACAACATCTGCATTAGAAAATTTTAGTAAAAATAACCCACTGGGGGAATTTTATTCTTGTGGCATAATTCTGCAAGGTTCTGAGAGGTTCTAAGCATGCACAACTCCCTTTGAAGTTGCTGGGACTTGAGGATACTCCTCACCTGACAGGAGGCTGTCAATATCTGGACTCTTAATGCTTACGGAAAATTACTTGGAAAAATTTCCTGTGCATCCAGGGATCAACAAAAGAGAGGGCAGCAGCTTGTTTGAGAAATGTAACCATATGCTCCCATGTACCAGAGAGATGTAATATTCTGACAGCTAAGTAAGCTGGAAGTAATAGATCAGTAGTACTGGTTTTTATTACATATTAGTATTTATATGAGTCTTGAGAACCACATTTTTAAAGGTGCAAAATTTTGTTCAATATGTTTAGTTGAAAAATACTATAAATTGTTAGTCCTTATGTGTACAGTAGAAAACATCAGTTATATGCAAGTATAGATTTGAGAGACATTGATACAAATTTTCTGTTTCTGGGGCACTGAAAAAGGAGATGGTGTATTTTACACCAAAACCTCACTAAATTTATAGCTGTGATTACTAATGGTCTCAACTGTAAATTAGCTTAAATTGTAACAACCACTAAAGTATATAACTGAATACACATATATGAGATTCCTTGTGGTTTTAAGTATCAGAGGGGTAGCCGTGTTAATCTGAATCTGTAAAAAGCAACAGAGGGTCCTGTGGCACCTTTAAGACTAACAGAAGTATTGGGAGCATAAG